GGCTCTTTTATGACTCGTGGACTTCAACTCCCAGAATTCCTGAGCCAGCCATGCTGAGGGGAAAGGGATAGGTTTCCAAGCTGAGCCATGCTGGCTCAGGAATTCTGGGAGTTGAAGTCCACGAGTCATAAAAGAACCAAGGTTGCCGACCCCTGATCTAGACTGATGTTCCTCAACCTTAGCAATTTTAAGATGCATGGACTTCAACTCTCAGAATTCCCCTATCAGCATGGAAACACATCGTGAGATTGCCAAGACTGAGATATTGCCAACCCGCCTCCTACCAAATATCTCCCTTCGACCAGTCCGCTCCCACAGAGAGGACCTCCTTAGGGTGCCGTCGGCCAGTCAATGCCGGCTGGCGACCCCCAGGGGGAGAGCCTTCTCTGTGGCAGCTCCTGCCCTCTGGAATTACCTACCCCCCGACCTACGTACAACTACGGACCTGCGCCTCTTCCGCCGAGCCTTGAAAACCCATCTATTCCATGCGGCCGGCCTGGCGTAGTTTTGATTGGGCTTTGCTAGGGGTTTTATATGGGGTATTTTAGAGCAGGCTTTTTATTCAATATTTATTGTGATTTTTATTATTGCTTGTTCACCGCCCTGAGTCCCGTAAGGGAGATAGGGCGGCATATAAATTTAAATAATAAATAAATAAATAAATAAATAAATAATAAACCTAAATTCTTAACACCACTCAATCTATTTCCACCAATTTGCAACTTTCTGAACCTGAGACCCAGAAACAATAATTTCCAGGAATGACAGCTCCTCAGGGGACAGATCATGGTCTACTGAATTTCTGCCCAAGAACAGGCAAGGATTTAACAAAGAAATAAATAGAATGTCAGTTTTCTCAAGCTCCGCCGGTATTTCAACTCTAATCAGAACTTTCTTTGGGAGCTATCCAGGGTCCTGAAACTCTAGTTTTGTCACAAATGTCTTCCTCAGGCGACTAGTAATATTTTTCTCGGACTAACACATTTTATTAAAAGGCGGAAGCTTTCAAAAGCGCCTGCCTTTTAATAGACAGTTGGTAAAATTGGCACCAGACTTTTGCTTTCCTGTCACCAAAGACTAACATGGTTCTCCTACTATAATCCCTCTTATTTAACTGAGAGTCTCTCTTAAATGACACCTTTTGGTTCCTTGATTAGGGTTACTGCATATTCCAGATACTATCAAGGTAGCACAAAAAACTACTACTATTGCTTGGGAAGCCATGGTGGGTCAGTGAACCTTACTCCCTCTCCTATGAGTCTGGCTACATTAATAGAATCTTCCAAGCCCAGAAGTACAAATTTTCCTTCCTAGAAGCCATCTAGTCCACTAAACTTTCACTAAAGCAGACCAAACCTGTTCTTCAAGCAGGAGACCCTATACCAGGGGTAGGTAACCTCGGCTCTTTTATGACTCGTGGACTTCAACTCCCAGAATTCCTGAGCCAGCCATGCTGAGGGGAAAGGGAGAGGTTTCCAAGCTGAGCCATGCTGGCTCAGGAATTCTGGGAGTTGAAGTCCACAAGTCATAAAAGAGCCAA